GCTTTCTCTGGGCACTGAGGTCCTGCGGGGCGCTGCCGGTGCGGGCAGCCCTGCCCCGCGGCGCGGCCGCTGCCTCCCTGTTTGCCCTGACTTTTGGCAGCCGTGGTGTGGCGTGCAGGTAGTAGCGTCGGGGGGAAAAGACAGTTTATTGTAGTTTGGGCGTGACTGCATACTTGGAAGTTCCCTTGGAGCAGCCTGGTATTGTGGAAGGAGTCCCTGCCTATGGCGGTGTGGTTGGAACTAGATGATCTTTAAAGTTTTATGATTCTGCGAAACAACAGAGGCGTTGCTCCAGGTGCCTGTGCTTAAGCCTGCTCCCGAGGCGGTCTGGCGGAGCTCTGCCAGTCAGAAGGCTTCGAAAAGGAAATGGGCCTCTGGACGTGTAAGTGAAAATTTGAGAAATACTTCTGAGAGACAAATGAAAGAGCCTGATCCCTTCCACGGCAGCATCTTCAGCTTTCATTGTCATTCAGCGTCCCTGTTGATGCATTTCATTGCCTGTCATCCTTGCCATTTTCCTCTAGTGTTTGACCCTTCCAGGCTTCTTGGCTCGATACCTGTGAGGCTTCTGGCACTTCAGCTTCTTCGCAAAAACTTATTTCGACGTGGGCGGGGCTCTTCAGCTTTCTGGTCAGGAGCAGTCTAGGTTGTTTGTCAGCTGCCAGGTTTTGATGCTAAATGTTTCTTGGGGGAATAGGGAGCCAGCTGACTTTTATATCAGGACGTTTTCACAGCAGAAGGCTTTGGTGGGCTATAGCTCCATGCATTTGTAGCTGTTTTAGTGAGCGTTCTTGTTACTGCTTACCTGATGTTGAGTTCTGGGTTCCTGGATTCTCTATCTGTATTATCTGAGAGCTGGATAGTGGTTCCAAATATTGAGAATGTATGCATAGGAGACTCCGATTTTACCTTGCTGAGTTGTTGCGAATTCCCATTCTCCTACAGTGGGCAGCGAAGCTTAACTTATCAACTGTTCTAAAGATGCCAGTTTCTTCCTGTAGTAGAAGCTTCTGTTAAAGTTGTAATAACTGAATTGTGTGTTTTGATGTCCTGCGGAAAAGGCACGGCCTTTGGTTTGGGGGTATTTCTTCATGAAGTCGTTGCCAGTTCTATTGTTTAGACCTACAGTCTTGCACTTCTCCAACAGCAGATTATTTGACCTTGTGGAACTGAGAAACTTCCAGTACGAAATGTGCACTAGTTAATTAGCATCTTTGTAGAGGACGATCTTAACAAGTTTGTCACTTTCTCCTTGGACAGTTGTATGAAATTCTTTTGAGATTCTGCTGCAGTTGTGTGACTTTGTCATATTACTGCCTGTAAGACCAATACACTGGTTACAAGTTTATTTTATTTAAAGGATATGTTGCCCTGGATATCAAGAGAAGGCAAAATAACCTGTTGAGTGAACAGCAGAGTCTGAAGTTTTGATGAAGAAGTTCTTGCACAAGAACTGGAGATTATCAGTTGCCTAGCAGAAGTGTGGAAATGTGTGAAGAGTATCCTTTACGTCCTCCTGCTTGTCTATAAGCATCTTAATCATGCAAGATGTGAGTGTAATTTTGTGGGGATACGCAGTGACCCTTGCTTGTCTTTTCTGCTATCTTGATATTAAGAAACATAATTTCTTTGTATAGAGATGTCAGGCATGTGCACCTTGTTTTAATTTCCTGCTAATTTAAAATACAGTAGACTGCTGAGTGGTAGTAGCATTCGTGAATGTGAATTTACATTTCTCTTGAGAGGAGTTATTTGCTCTGAAAAATGCCACACTTAGTTAAAGAAAGTGGCTATTCTGGATTTTGTGTGTGTATGCATATGGCTGTACGTGTATGTCTTGGGCTTAAGGACTGTAAATGTATAGTGCTTGGAATGCTAAACTAGGGCAGAGAGTTGAAACTTGGACCTGTCTGGATGTGCTGTTATAGCAAGCCTGCTCTGAAGGATAGAGATCACCCTCTGGCTTGGGACAAGTACAGAGATGGTGCAACTGACAAATACAAAGCAAGGGTGGGTTGAAGGAAAAACCTAGGGATTTTTTTGGAAGAGGGGGGGTATTTTTTTCTGTGCACCGTACAAAGTTGATTTATATTACAGGATTCAACCAGGAAACTTCTGGACACAGTAAAAAATTCAGGTCACTATCAGATTAATGGTTGGGAATGAGTAACCTCTTGGGAAGGGCCTTGTACCAGCTCAGTTTGGCATAAAGCTGCTAATCATGGATGCCTTGCTAGAAGAATGCTCCTCTCTTTGAGGATATAAATAATACGTATTAAAATTACTAAATTGTGAAACTAATGACTAAACTTGTATTGAACAAACAAACAAACTGAATTTCTAGTCTTTCATAGTTTTTTTGTTTTGACTTGTTTTTTTTTGTTTGGGGTTGTTTTTTTGGGTTTTTTTCAGATGTCAGCAATAACTCCCTCAAATTTAATTTCACTGATTAGCAATTAACACTGTAAAGAAGCATCTAAGTGCATCTGAACAGCTGAATCAGGTTCTGGTATTATTTCAGTCTGTATTGTACTAAGTGTTCCTAGATTCATCACAGAACAATCCAAGTTGAACATCCCAGAAGGGTTGTCTGGTCCCGTCTTTTGTGGGAAAGGGAGTCTAGAGGAGATCTTCCACTGACCTGTCTGGTTGCATCTTGAAAACCTTCAGTAATGGGGACTCCACCACATCTGTAGGGAGGTTGTTCCAGTGAATGACTGTTACAAATTTATTTCTGACACTGAGATGTAAACCTCTCTTTGCGCAACTTGTACCTGTTGTCCCTTGTATTCTCCGTGTGGCTCCTTGTGCAGAGTAAGTCTCCAGCCTCTATGTAGCTTCTCTTCAAGCACTGGAATACTGTGATGTGGTCCCCACCAAACCCTTTCTTCTCCAGGAAGAGACCTAGTTCCTTTATAGGGTAGGCTTTCTAGCCGTTAGATCGTCTTCGTGGTCCTTGTCCTCCAAACTCTTTTGTCTAGTTTCTAGAGTGTTTTGCTTGTTAAGGTCACTAAAAGCCTTGTTAGAAGTTCCATGATTTTTGTTTTAGGCTAAAAGTAAGCCTAGTCTTTGATCTTGGAATATATGAAGTTTTACAGCAGTCTGAACAACTTTTGTTTTTATGTTTGCTGTTAGAGTGGAAGGCTCACAGAGTTCCATAAGTCACCTTTTTAAAATTCAGTTCTTTAGTGCCTTTTGAAGAATTTTTTTCTTACTTCCTGGAGATGTTTCCAATTTGAAACAAACCTCCTAAGATAATGTACTACTTAAACCTTTAAGATTCCAGTCTATTATGAATTGATAAACCATTACTACTTTCCAGTCTTCCTTTAAGAAGAAAATTGACTCCTATTTAGTTGTGTACCAAAACCTACTCTTTTGACCTTAATGATTTTTTTCTCTTTTACTGATGGTGGTATTTTGTAATTTATAGTCTGTATGCTGAAGATGTGGGTAAAGGCTGTTTGTAAGTATTACAGCTCTTTTAATTGCAGCACTTACTGTTAACTCAGTTCATTCTTAGCACAATGGTCAAACTGCATTTGCCAGCTCTTTATTCAAAAGGCCCAGTTGCAGAGCTTGCATTCTCTGCTGGTCCAGGCAAATTAAATTTGTTGATCATGCAGTAATAAGCTCTGTTCTGTTGAAATCTCTAAACCTTTGTTGCCAATACCTCTAAAAGGTTTTCTTCTTTCATGTTCATTTGATGACTTGTGCAACATTTTAGAAATAGTTCTACACGTTTGATTTTTTTAGTTATGTTTTTTAAGTTAATATGGGACAGAATGTTTGTGTGGAATTAAATCTCACAGCAGCTGCAATTTTCTTATTTTTAAATCCTATATTCTGCTCTTTTTTCAGGTATATAGTCATAAGGATTGTCCATAGAAAAGCTGAAGTAGGCAATTCGGTAATTGAGTACTGGCACACATGAAAAGTAATACCACAGAGTAGAGTCTAACTCACTATGTCTTTGATGTATATCATGCAACAGATGAAGCTTTTTTTTTTTTTTGTATTTTGGGATACTGTGGTAGTATTCTGCACATTGTGTAATTACCCACACTTTAATTCACGAAATTAATTGTTTGATATCTGGAATTAAAATGGCGTGGACATACATATGGGAAGAAAGTAAAATTGATTGTGCAGTCTTTAATCTGCTATACTCTGAAATATAGCAAAATAAGTACAAGAGTGTGAAATGTCTTTTACTGTTTGCAGTTACACAGCTTTATTGTAAAGGAACATCAGTTGTCCATGTGTAGGTATTATTGTGCTACTGATACGGTAATAAAGTAGTGTCTTCGCATGCAACCATAATTAATCACAAAAATCCTTGAATTATAGCATGAATTCTCCACTTGCCTCATTCTAGATTAGCTGAAGCAGTATTCCTGCTTGGGTTTTGTACTTTATGTCCTCTGAATTTCCATTACATTGTTTCCTGAGGCTCAGATTTTTTCCATTTAGAAATGACCTTTTAAGCTGAAAGCAGAGGAAAGAGGGTCTCTTGGAGTAAGTGGAAAGAGATTTAAATTTAGGATGAGTGATTGTGCTGCTATAAGCTTTGTTTTAAACATTTATAAGGCAGTTGAAACTTGTCTGAAATGGAAAATTCTAACCATTGTTTATACTTTTTATTTTGTGTATATGTAGGTAGGTGGGAAGACTGCTAAAAGAGCTCTGAGAAGGATAAATAACCAAAGTCCACTGGTACAATGGTATTTACCCCAGTAGAAGAAGAGTTGCAGGGGAGGGCAATGACAAATAGCACATTGTAAATGAGCTATAACATCACAGAGAAAATTCCCCATCAGTAAATGTAAAGCAATATGTATGAGAGAACATGGATCCAGGTGGGGGGCAGCATTGCAATCTATACTGCAGAGCAACTAGTGGAGGTTAGGAAAGAGATCTTGGAGTTATTCGAACTGTTGAGTACCCCCTGTTTTGGTGAGATGACTTGGTCTTGGGTACGTTGTCAGCTGGATTCTGAGTTGGGTTTTATTCCTCTTATGACCTTAAGGAGAGGCTGAGCTTGGTAACCAGGAAAAAGTGATCCTCAGTTTACAGCATGATGTTTGTAAGACCTCAAGTAGTGATCTGCAAAACTCCGGATTATTTTTTGTAATTTAAAAGATAACCTGCATATGAGTCTATATATGCAAAAAAGCACACAAGATTTGTGTGTATGGGGAGAGGTAATTAATAGGCATTCAAAGCGTAGCCCAGTTATTTTTAAGTGAAAGCTGTTGTGGCAGCACTACACAAGATTGCTTGTGGTTTGTTTTGTTTTTTTTTTAAATTTGATTTTTTTCCCCCAAAGTGCAGGTGGCCCTTGAACTACTTAAGTAAAAATGAGTATGCATTGGGGCACATGTATGGCAGAGGATTAAAACTGGGTATCTGGTGCTATTACTGTTCCCAAGCTCCATTTAGTTTGCCCTTACATGCAGAACTGAAAGTTATGCTGGTATTTGAGCGGATTACGAACAGGTTACAAGCTTCTACCCTCAGGGTGACTTGGTTTATTAGAGAGCTGTAGTTGCTGCATATAATTTTAATCTGCTGCTGTATGTCTGCCAAACCAGCTAAAAATGTTTTTATACAGGTAATAATAATATTCTGTCTGCAGTAATTATAGCCACCTGTTAGAATCAGAGTGAAATAGCCTTGCACTGTAATCAGAGTAGAGCTGACTGCTTTGTCAGGCATGGTCAGTGCTAGTGACATGTAATACATCAGCATATCTGGCAAGAAGACATGTTTTGAAGTACTTTTAAGTGGTATTAGGTAACAGAACCAGAATATATAAGTTTCTTTTGTCTTCATTTTTTTGGCATTGCTTTACAAGTTCTAAGCAGCTCTTAGAATCTGAAGGTGAAATTATGTTTAATACTAATAATGTAAGGAAGGTGGCCTCTGACTACTGCACTCTTGCTAAGTTACTCTGGAATAAACAGTCAGTGAGAAGCTAAAAAAAAATTAAATGCACTCTTGTATTGCAGTTTTACTTTCAGATTAAAAAAAAAAGAAAGAAAATGAGGTCACAAATGAGTATTCATTTTTTCCACAGCAAGATTCCAATTTGGAATTAACACTATTAACAGTTACAGTTGATGGTGTACTTTTATGTGCATAGAGCAGACATGATTTCCAACAGCATGTACAATTCTGTATTGCATATAATTCTGCATTTTATTAAAGTATACTTGTTTGAAAAGCTTACTCAAACTGATTTCAAAAGTTGTCCTTTTGGGGATTCATAAATGCTTGCTGCTTTAAGGACTGAACAACTCCAAATCCAAAGAAGAGAGAATTACTGGAATGTATTATGTCAAGTAGTTTTTAGTTCATAGAAAACCATAGTTAGGGTTGGTTCTGCAGCATAAATAAAACTAGTTTCTGTTTACAGATATGACTACCCCTACTGCACAACAAAAAACTGTATTTTATGACTTTCCTACCTTACTTACTGAGTAGATAGTTGTTTGAAGTTTTCTTTTTAAAGATGGTGTGACACACTTCATGCTTTCAACCTCATCTTTAATCAGTGATCTTTTAGGAGCATTTCTATGGAGCTATGAATTAATTTGTATCTTAACATTGTTACATAGAATAGACTTTTTCTCTTTTTATGTGGTAGCTGCAGAGGCACAGTATCCAGGACTGTCACTTGTCCACTAATCTAAGTTCAGTGACTGGGCTCAGCATTGCACAGGTACTTCTTGTGGAAAGAACAACTCACTTTTATTGGTCTGAGAGCAGTGTTTCTGTAGTTCCTTGCCTGCTTGACTTAAGCCAGCACCTTTTTCAGCCAATAGTAAAAGTATAGGGGCTAGCAGACAGAGAAGGCTTGCTTGATTCTGGAGAACTTTGTCCTCAATAGAATGTAAAATTTGGGAGAATGGGGAAGGAAGCACATAATGAACTTTAATCATATGCTAGATGTGTATGGGTTGAGTGGATAACCTCAGTTTATTCTCTTACAAACACAGTGTCTGCATTAACCCTGCTCAGTTTCTCCTTCTTAATGCTGACAATGACTGAACAAAACCCCCCAAAGCTTAAATACTTTTAATCTTAGAATGTGTTGACATTCTAGAATCAATCAGTGGTGTTGGAGCCTTTTTACTTTAACTGTCTGGGTTTTCTGCTACCCAGTGACTTGTAATTTTGTGGAATCGTCCTCTCCTCCATAGAAAACTAATGGAGGTGAGCCTCTTCTGTTTATTGGATACCATAGCTGTGAGCTTGAAGTAGAGGTGCAGGCTCAGACTCCTAAAATTAGCTCATCTGGCAGCAAGTGTGTTGTCTGGCAATCAACAACTAAGTTCTGTCCTAATGGTCCCTCTCGTTTCCCCACCTTCATTGCAGCCATCTTGGAATTAATGTCTTCTGTTGAAGCTGCTCTGTCTTGTACTGTAGTACACTGGCAAGATCTTTGAGAGAATATGAAAGAAACAGGGTTTTTTCTCCATTTCTGTGATTTAATGCGAGCAAAATTAGTTTTTTCTTTAGCCTGGTCTTCTGGAAATGTCTAAGCTCCATCAACAGCCATCGTATTTTTGCCTGGGATGGGCTCATCAATACAGAAGGAAAAATAAGTAGACATCTTTAGAACAGGTAGTGTCTGGCAATATTAACTGTAAGACCTTTTAATATTTTGGTGGACTTTGGATTAGAGAGGATGAAGCAGAAGACTGTAAGGTGTATTCAACTCGTTTCAGTAGTTTGGTAACTGCAATTCAGTTATTTTTAAAATGTTAGTAATCTATATGTGTGTGTGTAGGCCAGAAGCGAGCACCTAAGCGGGGAGAACAGCAAGGATTCAATAACAGAGCAGCAGAGTTGAAACAAGACAAAACTGAGTGGGGACCATCTTTCAGGGAATACCGTTCCTATGACGCAGAAAGACAAGTGGAATTCACAGTGGAAAGGTATGTATCATACAGGGAGAAGTAAGGTGCCTCCTGGAGGATCTGCACAGGGCTTGGAAGAGAAAGACAACCTTCTTAGAACAGATCTAGTAGCCAGATGTGACTTGAAAGTTAGTAATGAGTAGATTTGTTGCAAGACTACTTAGTTCATGCCCATCAGAACTGTGATTTCAGCTTCCTCGTGGATGGATTTGGAGCCGTTTTATTAAATGTTGGAAATGTAAAGCAAAACTGAAAAGCAAAGATCTGAAAACAACCCTAGTCTGTAACAGAAGTTAATTTCTGAGCTTGCAGAACATGGGGTCCAAGTTCCAAGTTGAATTAGTTTTATTGTTCAAACTGGAAAGAAAACGTGGTCATGCTATTTACTGTTTAGACAATTAATGCATGTAAAGTTTGTGTTCTTTGTCAGTATTAGAAAATTCCACCTGTATTTTTTAATGTTTGAGAGCGTGACTGTTCTTACTTTACACCACAGCAGTTAATGTTTAACAAGTCCCCTGCGATTTTTAGCAGTTGCATTTAAAACTGGCTTTAGACAGTGGAAATATTGCCTGGTAAAGTTGCAGAAGATTTGACAGTTTTATAGTATTTTATTTAACTTCTCTAGTGTTTTCAGTGTTATCAAAAAACACCTGAAATTTGTATTTCTGTAATACCTCCTGAGTTCAGTTTGTCCTTTTAACGAAAAAATGAATACAACTGTACTGTGTGCAGTGTAAGGATGCACGCAAAATTGTGCAGTATCTCTCATACTGATGTCTCTCACAGCTGCACATACAACCATATGAATTTTTTTCCCGTTTCATGTTCTGTAGGAAGCAAAATCTGACTAGAAATCTTGTTTTTTAGACCAGTTGAAAGATTAGACCGTGAGAAGCCACTAAGAGGTCGTGGTAGAGGAAGAGGTGGAATACGAGGTAGAGGAAGAGGTGGTGGAGTAAACAGAAGTTTCAATGGCTTTGACCAAAGAGGAAGACGGGAATTTGAAAGACAGAGTGGGAATGATAAAATGTAAGTGTTCAGCGTGCTGATTCTTATGTGGTGTATAAGTAAACAACAGCACTGCAGTAGTGTCTCTTAAGTGTTCAGTTCCCTCCTTCTGTATCCAAGTTGACTGGCAAAAAGTCAACACTGATTTTATAGTTTGAGGTCCCAATAGAAAAAAAAGCACTTAAAGAACTCTGGTTCTCTAGAGGAATGACAGCAGGTGGCAAAAAGGGTGGAGGTGGAGCTTGCAACTGGGGAGCACTTAAAGATGAAACAAAGTACAACAGTTTATACTTGTGTTCACCACAGATCATAATTTTCCACAGCCCGCCTATTTTTTGTTCATCAGTTTCATGTTCATTTTGAGCTTTATAAGCCTTGCTTTCTATCAGTTGTGATGAACATAGTTTTACAGTACTGTGAACTCATCTCCTTCATGTTGGTGAGATAAAATTGCAGCAAAGGCATGGTGATGTTTCTTCAATTAAGACTTTTGACTGGGGCCAAGTTGTCTTTGAACTGAAATAAGTTCTGACTTTTCTCAATAGGCAGGTAGGTGGGACTCTGGTATTTAATGGCATTGCTACAAAATGCTAATTAAAAGATTGAAACTCTGTTAGTCTGGTCTTCCTTTCTCAAGTTTTATGCATAACTTCAAAACTGCAAAGCTGTAATAAAGTTCAATGTGGCTTTGGAGGTAATGTTTAGCTTACTTTACCACAAATACTTTTTTTAAGTGCACAGGAGAACCAGTAACAGAATGTGATGGCTTACTAAGGCTCATTTAGAGAAAAAAATATTTGGGAACGTCCAATTTAGTATGCTACCCTTCCGGTTGCTTCTGTTCTCGTGTGCATCTAGAATGCTGTAATTGAAGACTGATAAGAACAGAGAAAAGGCAGCACTTTGAACTTAAAGGAAATACCTTTGACCACATACACATTCACAACATTGTTTTAAAAATAAAATGTTTTTAAAACTTGCATAATGGATTCAGGCAATCTGGTTGAAAGACTGAAATATACAGCCTTGATGGGTGATAATTTTGGAGCTTGATGCTCCAAGTTCTTCTGAAAGGTTGTACTAGCTTTTATCTCTTCTATAATATTTCATACTAAAAGATTGGTTAGGCACTCTGGCTCTTCAAAACAAAGGATTTAGGTTAACATAGTTCTGAGCTGATAACACAAAACTAGCTGACCAAAAGAACTAAACTGGCTTTTGTAGTTTTCAGAGAAGGTTGTATGAACTTTGTAAAGTACAGGAGTTTAAAGATCACTTACATTTATTCTCACTAAGGTTTTTTTTAGTTCAATAGTATCAGAACATGAGATATAAACATGAGCTATTTGATGCTTTCTTGTGATATGGTGCATGTGGTGAACTGGAGTTGTCTAAATAATTCTAAAAGCATGTTTGTGTCTTAATTCTGCCCAATGATGCATTAAACTAGAAGGTGTTAATTTTGAATATGCGTGCCTACCAGTAGATGAAAGTAAGTATGCTGCTGCTCCCATTTAGCAGTGAACCAATCTGTGCAGAAAACAGGAACTTGAGAGTATGAATTTTACTGTTGTAATAGTTGAAAAGAAACAAAGCCAAACCCAAACATCAGTGATACCATGTAATCTAGTACTGAAATTAGTATTCAAGATTTAATTTTCTGTCTTCATTCATGCTTTACACTTTTTAAATTAAAAATACTCAAGTCAGATTTTCCTAATCTTCTCATTTTGTTAATCACTCAGCTAATCGCTTAGTAGGTCTACTTTCTGCTTGTGATATTGGATATTGTCTCTTTTTTTTTCCTCTCTCAAGGAATTCTGGATAAAAAGAGATGTCTTAATCTGTAAGGTTTTTTCCAATGTGACAGACTTGATGGGTTTTTTTGTTCCACTGTTTTAGTGCGATGGAACAGACTGCTCCTGTGGAAGAGACAGCAAAAACAGCTGAGCAGCCAGGGACATCTGAAGGAGAGCCTCTGAACAAGTACGGTCTGACTAAAATATTTTCTTTCTAAATGCAAAGAGAACAATTGACTGTTACTGATACACCTATATTGGGAGGCACACTTGAAATATGAACTGTGAAATTTTGCTAGTGCACATATTTAAAAATAGAAAAAATTTGTCTATACTTGTGAGTTAAGAAAATGGATCCCTAGTTCAGACTAAAGGTTTATTTATACAGCTGCAGTTTGCATTTAATTGCCCAGTGATGCTTAAGTTCCTAAGATCTGGTGATAATTTAAGAAGGAGCTACATACTCTCTATTACTTGGCTAATTTGTAAAAACTACCCTTGGTGAAGTTCTGTGTGAGAAAAAGGTATTCAAGGTGCCTATGCATTGATACAAACAATTAAGATAAAAAATTAAGATAAAATTCTCTAATTCTATATTCATCAATCACTGTACCATACAGTTGTCTTCTATTAATGAAAAGCCTCTGTAGAACTTGGAAAACTTACTTCAAATGTTATTGCAGGGAGCCTTAGAAGAAAGAAAGTAGATAAATTTGCCCTGTGTCTTCTGGCTTTCATTCTTAGCAGTGTCCAGTGAGAATTTACTTCACAACAAATGAACGCTAGCTTAAGAAAAAGTAACTGGATAATCTAGTCCAAGTAAGAGACTTTAAAGAATAATCAAAGAGCATATGGTGGATATCTCCTAATGAGTGAGAGAGGGTCAGTGCAATTTTCTGCTGTAGAGAGAAGTTAGCTTGCTCTGAAGCCTTTTTTACTTCGTGATTCAGCTCCAGTTATTTGCAGCCTTGGTTCTTTGATTATAAATCTGACTAGACTAAAAAAAGTTTTACATGTTCATGTTACATAGCCATGTAAGAAGCTGAGTTGATATATCTTTGATTATTTTAATTTTAAACTAGATTTTAATATGTAGGCAGAGATCTGTATACATGGGGAAATGTCTCTGAAACTGAATGGCTGTGATTGAATTTCTAGAAATCTGTTTCTGGACTAACTTATATTAGATGGGTAGTGTAGATAAACTATCAAAAATGCACTGCATTAGCTAAATATTACAACAGTTATTCAGCTTTTTTGGTCAACTACTGGTACCTTTACTTGTTTCAGACTTGTATTTGCTTCAGCTCCAATTCAATCTCTTTGTGGATGTGTCCTGACATCAGTTCCTTCTGGAGTGTAAAGCATAAGAAGCATATGTAGTAGCAAAGGCATCCGACAGAATCTGTTTGTCTTAAGTACTTTTTACTTTCTCAGAGATTACTAGGTATTCAGGCAGACAGAGACTTTTTGAAGATTTTGCTTATCTTCATGTTTTGTTTTTAAAGCTTTGTTTAGGAATAGCATACTGAAAGCTGTAAGTTGAAAATATGCAAGTAACCTGCAAGTACAAAATTCTGCATTGTGTACTTTTTTCAGTGCAGTAAATATTGTCCTGAAGACTCACATATCTTTATACAAAATATGAATTACTTACCTTTGAGGCTAGTGTCAGCTTGGAGACTCCATATTTTAAAATAGCACAGACGTGTGAATAGTGCCTAGGTAACTTGGTATGGTGGTATGGTGTTCACCATACAAGGTGAAATTATTTTGGTTATTCTAATGTTTAAAAGCAAAAGCTGGTGGGGTATGGTTTTCAGGCTTCAGGTTCTTTTAAGGTCTTGTATGCATAGGTTGTTCCTGCTCCTCCCAGAGTTGCTGTCATCTGACAGGTAACATACACCAGCAAGACTTCTAGCTAGGCTAAGTACTGTGTTTGCTATAGCCTTGATACTGATGGTGTAGAGGTGTGTGTTTGCTTAAACTAGGATTGTTCTCATTTCAACTCTTAAATGCAACAACTCCAAGGAATCTATTTTCTTCTCCTTTATTGCAGTTGTGTACTTGTATTGAGAAAGAGATGGAGAACTAAGGCTTGTTTCTTACCTCATTCTCTTTACTGTTGTGACTTTTTCCATTTAAAAGGAAAAAAAAAGTATTCCTGGAAGATGGGAATAATGTCTGCATGGAGATACTCCATAGCTTTCCAGTACTGACTAATTTCAGTGCAACTCTTCTGTGTCTTCTGTGGGCTGCCTTCAGGACTCTCTCCACATTATTGTTCCTGACCTTCCATTTGCAAATCCATTGCAGGACAAGGGTGTCTTTAATACTTATGTAATTTATAATTTTTTTTTTTCCTGTACCTTCACATTTCCTTGAGTGTATCAACAATACTTATTTGTGTTTATAGCATCCCAAACTGCATGCTTATAGTTGTGGGGTTTTGCTGCAAGCAATAAGTATAAATTATATAAGTAGTACAGCAATATGAACTTACCTCACGTCTACTTATTGCTAGACTTGTTTTCATAGTCTGAACAATGTAACACACTTTTGCCACTTGGTAATTCAAATGAATACATTTGTCTTATTTTTCAGCAAGACACATACTCTAATCGATTCCTATCAAAGGCTTTTGCAGAGCTAGTCCTGATTCTGTGGATTTTTCTTCAATTTCTTCACACAGGACTTAACTCTTTTGGAGGAGCTATGTATGCTTTTGGTCACTTAATAGAAAACTTTCAAAATTCCTTTTCAGGTTTTCTGAGCTATTTACCTCATTTGTTTTTGTTCGTTCTAATAGTGACATAAAGCTTTTCATAGACAAGGCCAGATATTCATAAGTATTAAGTTTGGTGTTTTTCTTCTATAGATAACTTGTATAGCTGTCGCTTGGTCTTAATGTTGGTTAGCTTTGGGTTTTACTATAACTGAAGGCAATGCTCCTGTGAATGATGTTTATTTAATAGGGAAGATTTGTGTAATTAGTTTATTGATAAAAGCTGAATAAAAATTCACTTTGTGCAGCTGAATAATAAAAAAAAAGTGATGTGAAGATCCACTATAATTAAAAATAATATTAAAATAATTAGCCAAACTACTGATCTGAATGCAGTTCCTTTCAATTCACACTTCTTTTGCATAATTATGTGTTCACATACAGCAGTTCCTGCAAGAAATGTATACACAGTAAACAAGACATAGCTAGAGGGTTGAAAGCACTGAAGCAGTAGCAACCATTAATGAAGGGTCCCATTCAGTGTTTTGGTATGTACTTGCATTGTGAATTCAGTTTGTTCCTGTCCTGAGGCTGGGCATATGTGTCTGGAATATTTTGTAAGCATTGTTGTTGGTGTGCTGAGGAGCTTATTAACTTGATTAATGAAGATGCACACCAAGCAGTTACTCAAAATACGTAAGGTTAGAAGGTACGAAGTAATGCATAAAGTATTTGGGCTGGATGCCCAAAATAACCTGCTACAATCAAGTTTCTGCCCAAAATGTCATATTCAGGTTCTTGTTGCTGTGCTTAAATAATGTGAGGTGTTTCCCCTAGTGAGTCTCAGGATCCTAAAACAAATTTGTGTTGTTAATAACCTAGCAGTTGTAACCATCCTTTAGAGTAAAAATCAAACCATACTTTGCAGTTGTGACAAAAGAAACATTTGTAGTGGAAATCCACCAGTACTTTCTTTAGAACAGGCAAGAGGTTCTTTTTGATAGATACGTACTTTTCAAAGCAATACCAAAAACCTGCAAATGCTTTTTGGTGAGGTCAAGTTGCTGTGTAATGAAATGTCCTGTTCTTGTCTTACAGTCATAGACATTTAGATCTGAGAGAGGTCTTGTTGACCCAAGACATGACCGACCATACCTGTGCTGCTTCTCATACATGTTTGGTTCATTTGAATGCCTTCTACTGGTAGAGATTTCAGTATGCCTTGATGGTCTTTCCAATACTTCGAAAACAGAAGCCACTATGTCTTTTGTTGTGTTTTTGTGTTGTTTTTTTTTTCTCCTGAGTGTCTTGCCTTACCATCATGGATATGCATTATGTTTTTTCTTTTTCAGTGTTATGTATATTTTTTCCTCAGCATCCTTTTTAAGTTTTCCCACGTAGATCATGTATTTTGGATCTCATATCTGTCTTGCAGTTCCATTGTGGTCTTTCCACCTGTTTCCACATACAAGATGTTACTAGGTTGAGTTGTTCCACCCTACCAGCAGTGACATCTCTTCCAATCAAAACTGTTGATGTGTCTTCTTATAATAGTACACTGTTCCAGAAAGGACAAATGCCATCAATCTGAAGTTCAGCGTGACTGGGTTACCTGTAATGCTCTTGCATGGTTTTGCGGGGTTGAGGTCTGTCCTTCAGAGTTTCTGCCTTACTGGCAGTTCTTTCTGTGTTTCGGCAGCTGAATTCGGCGAATTACAACAGAACTAAGATTAATCTGGTTTTGTTAGGTGACAGGTACAATCTCTGTGTACTGCTAAACCTGACAAAAGAAATCAGAGGCATCTTGTGAAATTAACAAAGGAAATATTAATTATTAAGAAGATCCCATGTTGTGATTTTATTTTTTTTTGGTGAGTGTATCATTTTGATGACTGCACTGAAATATAAATCCATCTTAGGTTGTCATCCTGCAGTATGAGTCAATAAAGCCATGCAATTGGGGTGCTTTAAAACTGCTTGGTATGCTTTTTTTACTATGGCTATATTTGCTAGGAGTAGATTCACTATTAAACAGTAGAGCTGAGAATATGCCAGATCAAAAGACAAACTGTTTTTGTCTAGAATATGAAGCTCTTGAATTTATGATGAGACTGCATAAATACTAGAACTTACTACAGGAGGCTGGAGATAGCATTTGTTCATAAGACTATTTTCAAACAGGCCATTTAGTATATTTTCCAACTTACATTAATGTAAAATTAGCACATCTAGCTACTGTGGGGAGTAAGGGAAATTGAGGAGAGTAATTTAGTGAGAAACATTCCAAATGTTCTGTTTAGTATCCTTACTTTAGAGATTAGTGTTCTTGTTCATCATGGCATGTTGCAAGCTAATGGTTTTTACTTTACAACTATAAACCTTTAGAGTTGCTGAAGGAGAGCCAATGGAAGAAGTAGTTCAAGAAATGACGTTAGATGAGTGGAAAAATCTTCAGCAACAGAAGCGACCAAAGCCTGAATTCAACATCCGGAAGCCAGAATCCATTGTTCCTTCCAAAGCAGTGGTGATTCACAAGTCAAAATATAGCAATGATGTAAGCATTGCCTCCAGAATTCTGTAAACTCTGCTTTATACCCAGGATTAGGAAATTACCTCTATTCTTTTTCTACTAGTTTTATTATAACCTGAACTAACTAGAAATCAGTATCTAAACTTTGTTACTGTAATAACATATGTGCCCCAAAACTTACTTTAAGCTTATTGTCTGTTAATTTTCTTCTTTCAGATCATCAGTCCTATTTTGTATGCAAATACTTAATATTTATTCTACCTCGTAGCTCAGTCTTTGCAGTATAAAACCTATACCCTTGCTGCTGCCACCTATGTAGATATCTGGTAATGCTGCTAGAAAAACTGGTTTACTTAGCACTTCTTACCCTAACTTTGAATTCTGTTTAGCTCACTTGCCAATATACACTTGCATTGTATATATATTAAACTTGGGTTTTGGCATCTGTTAGTTTGGTTGCTCAGTTTCCTATTTCTCATCAGTGCTGGATCCCAGCTTTCATTGTGCACTTGGAATATAGGAACTTTGTTTTCCAGTTTTAGGGTTCTGCTTCTTAGAAGTAACTCTGGAGAGCATGTTCTTTTAGTAATGTACTTTCCCCTGCCCCTTCTTCTCTAACTTTTATTCCACCATATTACTGTGGTTGACATTTCAGGGAAAATTTATGGCTTATTGATATGACTAGGGTGGGAGGAAAGGCTTCTTTCACAGATCCTTGTTTACTTAGATGACAGATTTTGGGCGTCACAGAAGTATGGGCCTGTACTTGTAGTCTGCCATGATGGAATTTTGATCCTTAAGTTCTGCATGCATATATAAATACACATATTATTCTTTCTCTAGTTATAAAATTAACATCAAAACTTGTAGCTTTTTAAACCTTAATTACTTCAGGTCATTGAGTGCTTCTAGGGACAGACACTAGTATGGAGGTGGCCTGCATCCTTTTTAGTGGTCACAGTTGCCATCATCCTCTTTTCTTTCACTGAAGATGGTGGTAGAGGGGAAGAGAAAATCCTTCACAAGCTCTGCAGAGCACATGCAAGTGCCTGAAGAGTGCATTCTGTTCTATTTGCCTATAGTGTTTCTTGGCTTGACATTATCAAGGGACCTTGTCAAAACAGAATAGGAGGTACAGGAACTTCATAATGTGAACAAGTCAAATTCAATTAGACATTGAATAACATAACTGATCACTGCATGGGATGAGTTTACATGTATGTTATCATTACTACAGTGCACATTAAAATTATCATGGGAAATTGCTTTACATCCAGTAGCTACCAGGAATAGAATTAAAACAACAGGAGTCCCATAGTATAGACAAATAGACTGACATATTGGTTTAAAAGCCAAATACTGTGCTTTTACTGTGGTCTTTTAACCATTACTTGAAGGTCATTGTAGGAGCAAGTAACTTAAGCTTGCTTCTCTTGTCCCTTAGAAACCTCATAGATGATCTTTCTGAAAAATCTTCAGTGTTACAGAGCTGTTGACAGGACTCTCTGAGCCAACAAATAACTATCCCAGGCATCTGGGAAGATACAATTGCCTCACCTCTGTTAAAACCCTGTAAAAGTTGAGGTCTGTCTAGTATTTTGCATGTCATCTTAATTTATCTGCTGCTTAGTCTGTAATACAAGTGTGTGTTTATGTATCAGGGAGGGGAGAAGTCTGTATGTGGAGGATATAGGCATTAACCAGATCTTCCTTTTAGTTGCAAAAAGAAGACTTTGAAGATGATTCTCATATCTTTCGAAGATCTGTGAATGACATAACATCTCAGTTGGATATCAATTTTGGGAGTCTTCCTTGCCCTGGCCGTGGATCAAGAGGAGCACGAGGTGGTCGTGGTCGTGGCAGACGAGTTGAGGAGATGGGACCTCAACCACAAGTAGTGGTAATGGTTTTTATGGATTTTAGTTTTGTTAACTTGAAGATATTTTGTTGTTGTTGTTGCTGGGGGTGTGTGCATGTTCAACCCCCTTTTGTGTGGAATTACTGATGTCTGTAGTAAGAGACTGTTTCTAGTTCCTGTCTCATAGTATGTTGGCCTGATTATTTTGAGTTCTTGACCCATAACATGTGACTTACAATTAAATGCCAGTTAAGAGTCACAATGTTTAACACATACATTTCAAAAGGCCCGATTACTAGTTGCTGTACTGGTAGCTAGGGGCAAAGAGGCAATGAAGATTTATTCTTGCAATAAGTTTTAATATAAATTGGGAAGTAATAAAAACATCCAAGGGCTTGTATCCCTTGCAAAAAAAAATCAGTACAGTACAGTTGTGGTACTTTGATTACTGAGAGTGAGATCAGAAATTTTGGGATTCTACAGATGAAAACAATCCTACAGCATTCTTCAGAATAAGTGTTCAATGTAGCCATTAAAAAAACTTCCACTGAAGTTTTTAAAAAAACAAAAGTAATTTGCGCACTAAGGACATATTTATTCTTCATATTAACTGAAGATCTTGGCTTACTTCTGTCTAATATAAGTAAAATACTCTGAGATTAGGAATTTACGGAATTATATGGAAGTGATTTGAATTTGCTTCATCTGAATGAAAAGGCTCTTTATAAAAACAGCATAGAATTTAAAACTACAATATATGCAGTAGCCTTAGAATGTAAAAATAAGGCTGCTTCTAAAAACAGTCTTTTGGGTGAGCTTGCTTTACTTTTTTTTCTTCACCTCAGTGCTGCAGAACTTGTGATCTTATGGTCCTCCTCAGGCAGTAGATCTTCAGTATGAATTTACCTATAATTATAGTAGTCATAATGTCAGTGATAAATGCTTAGCATTTCTGACAGTGACCAATACAAAGCATTTAACTTTAATAGAGGAATGAACTCTTTTCAGGGTAAAATACATATACATAGCTGCCTGATGCTTTTGAAATGTGTTTGTTTTTATAAAGCTTTCTTTCTTATTTTATAGGTGCAGCTTGTTGCTCCAAATCCTGATGATCCTGAGGATTTTCCAGCTTTAGTTTGAAGAACTGTTGTGGATGGCGGTATCTTAAAAGTTTTCTTGGTGTAGCTATGAAGACCAGTTTTATACTGGTGTGGATAAACAAAGTGTTCCTACTGGAAAAGTTGTTTGGGTGTTTGGTGTGGAATGATCAGCAGCCCTCTGCTAGTGGAGTTCAGTTCTGGAGATAACTGGCAGACTGGGATCACAGGTTCCAGTGTGCCTCTGTGAAAACTGTGTGAAGGCTTACACTACTTCACCACAAGGCTTCAAATGAAGTTCGAGTACAGTGTTTAAAAATGTATATATAGAGATTATATCAAACTCTCCATGTTGCCATGGTGAAAAGGAAAATATACAACATGATTTGCAGTTGGGACTCTTATTTCATTGTACATTTGAAAGCTGCATTACCTGTTTCTTTGAGTGAAGTGTGTGTTTAACATGGTCACAAGTTGCAGTTCTTCAGAGTCTGGCAAATAAAGGAAAGTGCTCATTGGTTTGGGTTTGAGGTATTATTTTCACAAGTCAGAGTAGCAGATTGAAGCTTTTGCTATTTGGATGTAGTCTGAAAAAAAAACAACCCAAAACCTAAACAGCAGACCTTACTTGCCCAAAACAGTGAACATCTCTCTAAATAAAAGTGATTCTTCAAAAGTAAGGCAGCACAGATACTTTTAATTGATAGCTAATTGTAAGGCTTGCTTCAGTAACAAGTTATAATCTGCAACTACTTCAAAAATAATGGTGAAATGAAGTGCTGTACAGTAAGAATTTTGAATTAAAGACAGAGCTAAACTGCTAAAGAAGTTTTAATTTTAGCAGGAGAAACTACAAACTAAAATGTTTTCATGCCTTACCCAGAAGTTTTTGTGACATTGGGGATGAGGTGGGGTGCCCTTTCCTTGCAGCTGTAACCCACTTCTGCACTTGACCCTGCACATTAAGTTTTTCTCTGTCAAAGGGGACACTCAGAGCTGTTATTGGGGATTTGACAGAAACAAGGAAATGGTGACTGAAGTCATGAAGGAAAGCTACGAGAGGACAACCACAGTGGACATTTTGGATGTAGCTGTCAGCCACACAGGAGTCTTTAAATGCCTTTTCAACTTGAACTTGTTCTTTCAATTTACTGGGAAATCAAACAAATTCTCTTTTTTTCCTGTTCTCTACCTCACTTTATTTTGTATCACTTCTAAGTTCTTTGTGTCTGCTGCTGTGATGCAGGGCCACTGCAGGCTGGGACCAAGGGATAATAAACATGAGCTGCTGCTTGGGATCTCCAGTTTTGCCACAGATTCTGCAGCAGCATTGTGGACTGGGTCACAGTTTGATAGGGAGGACAGGGACCAGGAGTGGAACTCTTTGCAGGATAAACTTACCAGATGCCCTCTCCCAGTTCCTTGTGTCACAGCCTGGCACTTGGATCAGGTTCTTGGAGGGTGTCATGCTTAATACCAGGTTTACTGACTTGAAGATGGCTTACATCACACAGCATTTTTTATTTACAGTGACAAAGTATATTGAAAACAGAACATAAATTTAAGTTACACTTTGCAAAGGACAGCAACTGCAATATGCAAGTTCAGTCACAATACCAGTGTGCTTGCCATTACTGGTCCCCATGGGATCCTCACAATTACCACACAGGGTGGCCCCAGTTGCCAGGATTTGATGTTGATAGCAGTGCCAGTCTGTTTCATTCTGAAATTATTCTGGCAGTTGTCTGGGACTTAGCCTCTTTATGTGTGCATTCTCCCCTTGCTGGTCTGGCCAGCTCAGGGAAACATTCACTCTCTAAAGAACTGGAGAGGAACATTTACATCACCAGGTGATCTACTCAACTGTTGACAGCCACTTAACCTATATCAGCAGCCATCCCTGGGGCCCCTCTTATGCTGAGGTAAAGTCATCTTTGCAACAGCTGTGGTCCCTGATACCCTGCATCATTCCCTGAGCTGCACAAGCACATCACCCTTGCCCACATCCTTTCAACCTTATTCCATTTTAGGGGCTTACTGTCAGTCAGTCACACCAATGTGAAACCAATCCCAAAAACACAAATGCAAGGAAAAGCAAGCATCTCTTCCTCAACAAACTCCCAGTGATTTTGGCCTAAAGATGCAGTTACTTTTTTAGCACCAGCCTTGAGTATTTCTAACTGGCACATCTATTTTGCTATAGCCCATTTTTCTCTACTACAGGCTGTGTAGAAGGTCTAATGCAAAGGAGGCTAAGTAGACCCAAAGCAAAGTTACTCAGAAATGTTGTAAACAGGTGATTCTTGCAGTGCACTAGCTTGTCAATGGGTTTGACCTAGGCTACTGTTCTGTTGTTCCATGTAGGATCGTTCAGTCCTCCACCCTTCCCTGTCCAGTGCCAGTACTCTATACATATATATGCTACTGACATGATAGTGCTTACCTGCTTTCCTCTGGACATCACATGTATAAATGGATGCATCCCTAGGCAAAACCTACCATTCACACTTTAGCAGGCAACTAGTGGTTTAAACATTCATGTTAGAATGCAGGTGAACGCAACAAATTAACACAGACTTTCCAACCATAAAACCACATCTTCAGAGCAAGGAAAAGGTTACTTGCTTATCAAACAGGCTCTGCCTGAGGTGTGCAAATTCTGCATTTTCTTATGGAGGGAAGGTAGGGGTATTTGAGTTGGATTGTATTTTTTGCTGTTGTGTTGTGTTTGGAATTAAACGAGAGCACAATCAACTCTTACACAAAAGTAAGTGTTCCTGAAAAGTTAATTTTTACTTTTGAGAAACCTTCACTTTCATGGTTAAGTATCAAAGTATATAATATTTAATATGATGCCTGTTTCCAAAAATGAGTACTATATGATCATGGAGGTAGGACACAAACTAGAATCCCATCCATGTTTTTTACTGGGTGGCAGAATCCAAACAATTCACATACAATTACTCTTGTCCAAAGTGAGTCCTCTGAAAAGTAGAGCCAGAAGTTTTCCATTTTTGAAATTAGAAGAGTGTACGTTTTAAGAAATTGTGCTTTAATTAGAGCAGCTGAGATTCTTGCATTATTTTTCAGAGCACACAAGTCGGTGTGGTACAAATCAGCTTTGTGCTGAATGTTTTTTTTAGAATGCTGTAAATAAAAGTGAGAAAGCAAACTTCTGATTATTTTATTTTTACACAATTCATGTCTGCAATTCTCACTATTCAATATTTTGTAATCAAATACAATATGCAGTTATTTTCAAATGAGACACATGCATATTGAAACTACTTAATATTACAAGGTAATATGAAGCTTTATCTTAAAAATAACTTCAGCAAAATAAACTCCCATTCTGTCAATCCAAGTTAAAAAAATATGATTAGAAATATACAATTTAAAAATAATCAGGATGAACAGTACTGATTACTCAATAACTTTTGGGTCTTGATAGTCTGTACATGAGTTTACATAAGACAAACAGTCAGCAAACCATTAATATAAAACTGCAGTGCCACAAACTGGTGAACATTTTTCTTTTTTTTTCTTTTCCATTTTAATGCATGAGTGTCTACAAATCCTATGTAATTATTTTAAACCAGCAACACCTCCTCTGCTGTCATACTGGGGCCAAACGACAAGGTCTAGTTTAAGCTATTGATGCTGTAATGGATGCTAGAAATTTGAAGATATTACAGCTTTTGAGTATGTTGCATGCTTTTGAATATGAGATCAAGGGAGAATCCATGCGTATTTGAAAGAGTGGAAATAATTTGTATGGAAAAACCCCTATTTGATGACAGCAGAAACAAATTCCTTCTGCTGCTGTGTGGTACTTCAGTGATGCAGCTGCTATCACACATTCCATTTTGGCACATAATAGTTAACAATTTAAAAAATATTTAGAAACCAAGGACTCCCCTGCCCATACCCACTCTTCATTCTTGTACTTAAGACAGCTTTGGTATGGTATAATAAAAATGCTAGACCAAATACTAAAAATTCAGAATTAAGCAATACAATCAGATGGGACACAATGAGGTATGAGTTAATTTTCCATATAAGGCTGTTTAGAGTTCAAATGTAAAATACCTTTGACATTACTGTGTTTCTTACTTAGATACTGGGTGGTAGAAGTAGTATCCTGAAACACATTAATGCCAAACATGCAGTTTTGGTTTAGCTAGAGTTGCTGTTGTGTGTGTTTGTGCACTTGTTTTATGCAAATTTACTTCTGATGAACCTGAAAGTGCTAATGGCTCTGCTGGTTCCTTAAAAAAAAGGCAAATTCCACTTTGGAATTTGAAAGGGGTGTGAAACACTGCTTATTTTTAGGTTAAAACCAAAGATGCTAGAAGAGGAAGCTCAGCTGAGAAAAGGGCAAAGCCAATCACTAAACATTACTAAATCTTGTTTTGACTCTAACCCCTTCACCTCACTAGTTTAATTGCTTCTGCCTTCCAAGATTTTACTCATAAATAAATACAGGTTATTATTTGCTCAATACATCTACTATCCTGGTTGCCTGTACTTCAGCTTTTGGACAAGAGGCTTACTAAAATCAAGGAATTTTAATCAATCTATCAGAATGAATTCTGTTCCTCTACTTTCACCTGGAAGAAAACAATGGTGAAGGTGAAGAGGAGAACAAAAATATGTGGGGTCTGAGCCTTTATTCTGTACCATACAAGTCTCTTGTTTTCTTTGTATTCATATTTGCAACTTTGGACTAAAATTACTTTGCATTCTGCTTCCCTTCCATCTTATGATGCTCTTGCCACCAAATATTTTCAAGCCAAGGTGTGCTTAATCAGACTGGCACTCAAAAACCACCAGCCAAACAGCTTAATTTTTCATTTAAAAGAATGTAGACTGACACTAGTCACTGAACCTGCCCAGTTATATTAATAAAAAGAAAACTGTATCCTTTGCAGAGGTAAGTTGTATCTTTAAAAACTTACATTAGTCCACTGATTTCAGATATCTCCATTTCTTCTACTTTCTACTGTAAGAGTAGTCAGTAAATCAACAGATAGCTGTATAATATTTAAGGCTATGTGGTAACAGTCCTCATCTGAGGGATATGCAGCTATAAACTTCAGTTGGTAGACAAGGGTACATCACTGCAAAGCCAGGTTTGAGTCTTAATAATGTGAAAAGTGGTATGAAAAAATGCTGCCCATGTTTTAAGACAGTCCTGTAGTGGATGAAAAATTCAGTCTGACATGTTCCTCTGAAAATTGCACTGCTTTTTAACAGAGGTAAGCTGTAGTTTTAAAAGTTTATTAGATGTTAAAAACTATACCTGCCCCTGAGTTCCACGACCAATTTCGGTTGTACAGCAAGCTTATTTTCCCTTTTTTTTGCATGCTGCACTCATTATGTGTCTCAAAGCTAAAAAACAGTGACAGCCAGATGTTACCAAGTTTACGAATAAAACTAGGGGAAAGTCCTTACCTTTTTACCTATGGCAATCTGGAGTTTCACCTAAAAGGCTTGAAGGTAGGAGAAGACACAGTAATTACATTTCAATATGCAATTTAAAGCAATTACAACTACTTAAAAGAGCCATCAGTTGTGATCAACTAAAACCCTATTACTATTAAAAAACAATTTAATTACTTAGAGTTACTTTTTTCAAAATAAACCACATAACCTTTGAAAATAAAGCACTCTCCGGTGGACAATAGATACTTTGTGTACTCAGTACTGTGGCTTCGTTAAAAACCTCATACAAAGTAAGAAAGAATAGCCAGTTAACGCAGGAGAGTACAATACTATAGGAAAAAAAAAGCTTTTGTGGTAGATTTGCAGTCTCAGTTGGAGACTTGAGCCCAATCTGAATGGACAACACAGACTTACATATTTAAAAGCTCTCACCATCTCATTTCTGGTGGTCAGCAGCTAAGTGATTGCCATAACAATTTTTACACATGCATCATACATACTAGCAAGCCCTCTTTATAATAGAGAGCTTAAGTATTTACACCTGAGTCTAAATGTACACAGATTTTCTTGGTTTTATTTGAGGAAGCGTTAGCACATTAGGCTAGTGTCTACCAGATGTCTTATTTTAAGTTCATTGTATTGTACAAGTACGGAAGAGATCCTTCTGTTTCACTTTTGCTGAAAAATGGAGACAGAGTATTCTTCCTTGAATTGCATCAAGTCCCATCTAGTCATATCCCCTTCATTTCCGAATATCCTCTTCAACACTGATTGCTTATTTGAAATTTAACGCAATACTCTTCTAGTCCGTGGATGGACTGGCTGCTGAAACAAAACATTTGAGGAAAAAAAATACGTATGTACTCTGCATGTATTTCAAGCAAACATTTTGGGCAAGGTAAAATGAGAAAATGCTACTTCAAAGAAAGAAGATAAAAGCCACTGCATTTAAGAACACAGCAATACTGGTTGTAAATAAAGTGCAGACCGGTCTGATCAGAGAAAATATGAATAAAGGTTCTGTTTCATACAGAAATGCAACAGAGAATTCGAAGTACCATAATTTCATCAGCACATTTGCTGTAAAGCATTCTTTTTCTTCTCTTCCTCTGAGGTAGCAGACTGCAGGAAAAGTAGAAAGAATATAGTACAGAAACATTAATTTTTAAAGCTCTGAAATGGTGCAGGTGGTTTTCAGTGTTTGAACAAGAGTGCAGAAGGTTGCTTTATAACTCCCAGCAATGCAAAAGTATATGAGATTTTTAAAGCATACTCCTCTTTGTTATTTTTAGTGATACATCTCTCTGGTTAAAAGACAAATCAATCTAGTTATCATAAGTTTCTCCCCATACTCCCCATCAACTACTTACTATATACATAATGCTAATTCTGTTACGTGTGGTAACACAGAAAAGACGGCTTCATTTGTGTCTTACTATGATTCAGCTGGTTTGGATTGGATGGATCTTGTTAAAATACAAACATGAGCTTCTCAGCAATGGGCAAATGTACAAGGAAGACGTCTTAACTAGAGAAACATAGGCATCAAGATCAGTTTCAATGTCAGTTCTGGTCTGGTAAGGCTCTAGGTAGGCATTTTCTTGCAGTTCAACAACAGTGTTATTTCAGTCACAAGATTAAATGTGTTACATCTGCCAGTACTTTCATAGATGGCAGCTGACATCTAGATATGTTCCACAAAGGAAATGCAGTGGATGTTAAGGATTGAATTTCCCTAAATTATCTTTGCAAAGCCAGAAAAAGAGTTTTAGCCACAAATGGCTGTGTTTGCTGAAAAAGTAATTCTGAGGCCATTCTGTGACAGTGTTTCCAACAGTCTGAAGGATGAAGTGGCAAAGGAATTACCCAGCTCTGTGTTAGGATGGGTCACAAATGTGATTCATCTACAGTAAGAATTGACTAAAATGACCTACAGCATCAACAAATGAGATTAATGTAAAAATACTCCAAAATGTCTCCACTGGAACATATCACACAGGAAAATGAAAGAATAAGGGTACACAGTAATACCAAGAGTTCGGAGAAGGCAACAAGGTCTAGGAAAAGACAGGAGTTGGGCAGGTTAGGGCATGATTTCAGTTTTGTAATAATAATTATTCTCTTCTACTCTGAAAGGAGTAGATGTACTCCTTTATCTGAAATAGGTCTGTCATTTTGAGCACTGTGAGGAAATGCAAACTGCTTGGACTTCAAGAAATTACAATAAAAGAGATGAAGAAAAAAAGGGATGCTTTAAAAGAAAAAAAAGTGGGTTTTGCCAAATGCTACAGGAAAAGTAAAAGAACATGTACAGGACAAGCAAAAAGGGACTGCATTCTAAGTTCATGGAATTGTATAATCATACCAGAATAGTCTTTAGAGGGACTAACATCCAATTAAACTTCTCAGACGACAAAATTATTAAGAACTCCACAACTGTGACAAAACTATTTAAGATAAATTTGATTCTTGGATCCAAGCTTAAAGTGACTGAAATTCTTTGACCTCCAAAGTTAGAAAAAAGAAACAGCATACGGAATTAAATATTTGAGGTAGAAGTTTTAGAAAAATCCATTAAAATATGAAGTAGTTTATGAAGTTTAAGATCAACCTGATACTTGATCCTCAGAGTCACAAATCTGAAATACACCTAAAGGACTTATTTCAAAATAGCTGAAATCCTATATGAACTGTATTTTAGGCATGTTATTTTCTCCTAAGGCTAGATATTCTTATCTCACACAGCACAAAGGTCATCTCAGAGCTGCATTTTCCATGAACTGAAAATGTTTGTTCAATTACAGCTGTGCATTGATACAGCAACAAAGAGCTGCAAGGAACTTAAAACAGAGAGAGACAAAGAATAAAACCAGCAGGCAGAATCCCATCAATTTGTCTGGGCCAAAAGTGACATAGTGAAAATGAAGCAAAATAGAGGGAAAAAACCAAACAAACAGGAAAACCCAGAAAAACACTTCAGATTTTTAGTAATACATGCATTTAAAGAAAAATATATTGTTACGTGAATCAAAATGTAATTCATAGACCCACTGCTTAGAAGTCTCCTACTAGAATTTACTAAGTCTGTTATTAATGACTATTTCTATTGGCTGATAGAGTGACTATTTCTGAACTTTGTTATCTTCAAGGTAACAGAATGAGGAAGGGGAAAAAGCTGCACAAGAACTTGGAATTTTCAGTAATATTTATAAATCAAGCTAATTACTACTTGTGCTATTTGCCACTCTTGCCAACAAAAGTGAGTCTCTTCAGCACCTGACAGACCATTCAAAAGTCTTTTGATATATAAATTAGTCCAATTCCAGTCTTAACTGCTGGAGATTGCTTAGAAATGTTTTTAAGCTACACCCCCAGGCTCATCTTTGATCATGACCTGCTGTAGAGTGGCATGAACACATGCACACACAAACACAGCAGTAGTGTATATGCTTCTGGGCCAAAAGGCACTTTCAGTCTTGCATAAATCCACGCAAATTTGAAATTTTATTAAGCTTTACCAAACTGGTTCAATTTGGATTATCAGCCATACTCTCAGTACAAAATCTCACACCAGTATACACATGCATTTTATATACTTCACCTCTGCACAACTACTGCATTTCAGTTGTCCACAAAACTACTTCTACTTTTGACTCCATGTACTGAATAATAATTGACTTAATGCTGTGAACAACTTTTTCACCTCATACTCCAGGCAGAGGTTTAGTAAGACACTTTTTTTGTTACCAAAACCCCTCACCTTCAATAATTCTGACTCACGTTAGGGATTACAATATAAAATTCTCAAAGTTGGAAGACTGAGCAACATAATCAAATTACATAATATTTAAGGTTCAAATATTCTCAGTATATGACATAAACCATTAAATTGTTTCTCACTGCCCATTGCTAGGAGGAGTTGAACTGTTGCAAAATATCCTGTCAGCAATGGTTATGCCACCTCTAAGTATTTTTGCCTAGAGAACACTTAACTGTATCTGTAAAGAGGGTAACTCTCACCTTTTTTAACTGTTTTTTCTTGCAGCAGACCTGGTAGTTCTTTTAGTAATGTCTGTACTGTCAGATATGCTAGGTTCAGAAGTTTTATTTTTCTGAACACTGGAGTGCAGAATTACTCTGAAAAGAGTAGGAAAAAAGAAAGATTATATAACGTGAAAGTTTCTAGGAAAACACTGAAAAGAGACTATTACAGTTGCAGCAGATATAACAAGTATCAGCTGGCTTTTCACAAATCGTTCTGAAAAGCAAATTGTTCTGCCTGAAACATCTTTCTCTTTATAACCTTGTTATAATTATGGTAATGCAAATTGTTTTACTAGGAGCTTGGCAGTTTATTTTTTGGGGTTTTGTTGTTTGCTTTTGCTTTCAAACCATTTATTAAATTAATGGTTTTGAATTTCCTGTTAACGTCTTTGGAAGACAAAAAGCTAAGAAATTGTATTTTAAATTACTGCAACAACAACAAGAAGATAATCTGAAGTATGCAAAAACATACATTAAATTCCAGACTGACACAGAAATTAATAAAGAAAAAAAATTGACTAAATGAATTTGTAAAGTTTGAAGTCTGAATCTCCTGCAATTAAACATGAGATACTCCCTTCAAACACCATAGACTGTATTTGTCAGCATATGCTGACATTTTGTACTTACAGGGAATTATTACACTATACTCATAACTCAGCTTTTAATACTGGTTATGCTCAACCACTTCTTTTGAATATATTCAAGAGCAATATATTGACTAATTCCAAACCAGGCAGATAAATCCTAGTGTTGCTTGCATCAACAGCAAAAGAACTCCAGACTGTAATGCAAAGAACTATTTTTAGCCACAAGCCAACTGGATCATAGGGGAGATCATGTCTTCTGTATTCCTAAATACTTGTAGTGAAATTACGGTACTATGGAGACAAAAAGTGAGAACTGGACAACTGAGTCTACAGATACCTATTTAGTGCATCATTTTATGTGTGTTTCCGAGTCGTTCCACCTATGCAAGTTTCTAACTATAAAAGTATGCATCATTTTAGAGATTCAGAGCTAAGAGTAAGTTAGCAATTACTTCCCTCACCCTCCCAAATCCCCCTCCCCTGTTATTAAACTCTGATTTTCAGGGCCTTTGCTAATTCTGTGTCAGCAGAATATACTGGATTGGAAATCAAAATCTTCATTAAGTTGTATAAATTGAAGTCTGGCTGAACAACAACATGAAGAAACTGTTTTCAAGGAATTCTAGATGAAACATAAAATGTAACTGCTGGAGCAAAAGCACAGAGACATACATAGCAGAAAATATGAATATTTTCATACTCAAGTAACACATTCACCAAAAACAGAAATGGAGAAAAAAATCACCCTAAGCAGTTCACTGTTTGATACCAGAATTAGAATAATGTGGAGATAATACAATTACATCTAAAATTAATTCTTTACAGCAGTAAAACTGATCAGCAACCTAATTTACCACATACTTCTAGGTTGTTTAGGAAACATATGACCACAGAACTGCAAAGTTCCAGTATTGTAAATTTCTATTAAACAAACCTCTCTTTATATTTTGGACTTGCAGAAGTCCAAATAAAACAGTCTTCTCTTCCTCCAAGGTAAGATACAGGATTACAATGACAAGTACTATCAAAATGTGAAGCAAATTCTACTATAAAAACAACATACTGAAAGCTAGAGGAATCAGTTACTCAAGAGGATAAAAACAAAAACCAGATACTTTCAACACCATACCATGCTTCTGTAGACAACACATATTCTTCTAAGAAAAATCTGTTTTCCTTTCATGACTAAAG